TAGATGTGTCTTCACACCAAGGCCTGCGCCTCCGAGCACCTGATTCCTCCCTGGGCACTGATGTCAGGAATCTGGGGAATATGAGAATAATAGAGCCATACGGCCCCATTGTGAAAGGGGGAGGAAAACGTCAGTGCCTTTGTGTGAGGCCAAGAGGAAGTGAGGCAGCAGGAGGCTGGAGAACGGGAGGGGCAGGCTGAGAGGGGCTTCCTGCCCAGAAACAGGGTGACTAGGTCAGTCTTTGAGGCCCCAGGGCGGGTCTGACAGTAGCACCTGGGGGAGGAGGGGGAGGGGGGTCTCTAAGCTCATTTAGGAAGCCACAGCTGGAGAGGACTGGGGAGGGGGCTTCCTCTCACATGCACATCCCTTTCGTCATCCCTTTCTCCTCTCCAGGTCCTCTCACCTGTGTGCAGTTGTTAAGGCTGGAATTAAAAGGCCCACCAGCTGTAATCTCAGTGGCTTCACAAGGAGGACATTCCTTCCCTCCCCCTAATTCTCTCACATCACCTAACCCATCTCCTCCAAAGACTTCACGGTTATAAATTCATTCCTTACTTGTTAAAAAAAAAAAAAAAAGCCCCACTGGGTGACCTAAGCTGCTTCCACCCTGCAGCCCCACCCACTCCTGATTGCTGCATCCTTAGCCAGAGGTGGACCCCAGCAGAGAGGGGAGGGTCAGCTGACACGGGGCGGGGTGGGGGGGGAGGGTGTGTAGCCCGGGCCTTATCTGGAGTCCAGCCACGCCTCTTAAAACACAAGCAAAGCCCCACTTGGCAGACGGGACTTCCTCCCCCAGCCCAGCTGCTGGGCTGCTGGGCAGAGAGTTGCCAAATGACTTTCTCCTCCTGAGTTCCCGTGAGGGAAACTGTGAGGAAAAAGTAAATTTCCTCCCGATACGTTGTGGATTGACTCCAGGGAACTTCCCAGTGGCACGTAAAATAATCGTAACATGTATTGGGTATTTTGTGCCAAGTGCTATTAAGCAGGTCTTAAAGAGAGAAGCTATGAGCAGTTCTATGCCTCAGAAGAGAGAGAGCGGGTGACCTGCCAAGCTCACGTATACAGCAAATCCCAGGGCCAAGACTGGGGCCCAGGAGCTGACCGTCAGGGCCCCTGTACGTAAGCACCAGGCTACATGCTGATTCTTAAGAGAAGGTGCGTTTGTGAAATGCAGCCTGGGAGGAGGGGGAGGGGGAGGGGGGACAGAGGAGCATCCTGGGGGCCTGGGTGACTCATCTCAGGGAAACTGAGCTGCAGGGCAAGCGTTTCTGGGAACGAGCTCAGCCCCAGAGCGGACTCCCTGAGATGGTCCAGCCCGAGTCAAGCCGGACACAGCGGGGTGACTGCTGGAGGGAAGGAGTGAAGGTTTGGCTTGGCCTGTGGACACAAGACAGGACAGAAGAGCAAGGAAGGACCAGTAGGCCTTAGCAGTGAGGGTTCAGGGCCCGGGGCTGGCAGTCGAGTAAGTGCCCTGGAGCAGCCTCCGGCCTCTGTTTCTCATGTTCCAGGTGTCCCTGGCTCTGTAGGCAAACCCAGTGTTCTAACCAGTTTCAGAGTCTGTGCTGGGCTGGAGAGCTCATTGGGGATGGGGGACCTCAGGCGGGCTGTGATCTCCAGGACCTGTCTCTGGAGGAAGAGCTGGCCAGCTCCGTGGGTGATGGTGGGAAAGATCCCAGCACCGTTTTGCACTTAACGGTGTCCTGAGATTCTGTCTCGTTAGTGCACGGAGAGCCTGCTGGTGATTTCCACAGCTGCATCGTATTCTGGTGTGTGGCCATCCCATAATTTATTAGCCAATCCTATCCTAGTGGACATTTAGGTTGTCCGCCATGATAAACACCTGTGGGTCTATCTGTAGGATAAATTCCTGGAAGCAGAATTAACAAATCAAACAGTACAAGTCTTTATAATTTTGTGACATGTTGCCAATTGACGGTCCATAGCTGTTGACTGATTTATCCCCTCCCACTCACCAACAGCGAGTGGAGGTTGGAAGAGACCCCACCAGAGACCAGTGGGGCACCTTCCCAGCAGCCTATGGGAAACCCATACCTTTTGACTTTTTCCAGAAGGTGGTGGGGATAGGACACTTTACTCAATGATTGGCATCCAGAGACTATGTAAGACTTCAAACCTGGCTGAGTTGCCCCCTTGAGATGTGTTATGGGGAGAATAAAGACTGCTGGCGGGGCAGGGCCCAGCAGGCCGGGGATTGGGGTGGGAACAGACAGCAGCACAACAATGATGAGACTGGTTCTTTTCAAAACAAGTTTAAACAACACCCAGTATGATCATTCCACGAGTAACGGATGTTATAAATAGCATATCTTATTATTCCTAGAATAACCAAAGAATTCTACATTTCTAAGAAGAGTTTTGAAACATAAAGCAATTATTTTTAAGGCTAGGAAAAATAAGTCCAAATATTAACAGTAGCAGGATAGAGGCTAAAATAGAAATGGGCTTTAGAACCAGACAGACCTGAGCTGAGCCCCTCTCTACTCACACCAGCCCTTCACTTATGGCTCAGTGTCCTTGGTCCTAAGATGGGGTTCAGATCCATGTGAAGGGCCTGTGGGGGGCATGGCGGGAGCGTCAGGCAGTTGCGGGAGAGTCTGAAGCAGGGGTCCCGGCATAAGGTTCGCACTCAATGACTGGTGACCGTTATCACCGCAGGATGGTGACTCTCTGGTTAGCTTTTTCTTTTTATATTCCGGTCAGTTTGCTATAGGCGTATTATTTTTAGAATCAGAAAAAAAAGAAAAAGCCTCATGAAACAAAGGAAAGGTGAGGAGTGATATGTGACGAGTGATATGCAGGGAGCAAAGGGCAGAGAGACAGATGCTCTTTAGAAACCATGACTCTGGGCCTGGAATTTAACCTGCAGTTAACGAGGCTGAGAGAGGCAGGTGGGTGAGCCCACAGGCTTCCTTACTGAGAATTTCCTGCCTTTGAGCCCACCCACCGGTCCCCAGTGTACAGATGTCAGGGAAACCCCAGGGTAGCAAGCCCTTCCACAAACACGCCCACTCCTGGCAAGCAGGCTGACAGGGACCTGGTTGGGGCTTAGTGGAGCCCACTCCACCTCGCGCTCCACCTGCAGCTCTCCCGCTGTGGCCCTGGGCTGGGCCTCTGACATGCAGTGATGTCATCGGGCAAGGAACAAAGGCCAAGGACCCCAGAATCTGTGTTTTGTTCCACATGTCTCTGCCTCATCTTCCTGTTCTTTGTTTCTTTTCTTCTTTTTTATTATAAATATTTTAAAGTCATTCCTTTAGATAAATTGGGCTTCATCAAAATTTAAAACTTTATGTGTCATAGGACACGATTGACAGAGTAAAAAGGCAACCCACGGAATGGGATAAAATATTTACAAATCATATATCTGAGAAGGGATTAATATCCAGAATATGTAAAGAATTCCTAAAACTTAACAACAATAAAACAAACAACCCAATTCAAAACTGAGCAAAGAACTTGAAGGACTTTTCTCCTAAGCCGATAAAGAAATGGCCAATGAAGCCCATGAAAAGATGCTCGACATCACTAATCATTAGGGACATGCAAATCAAAACCATAATATCACTTCACACCCATTATGGTAGCTATTATTAAAAAAGCAGAAAACAAGTGTTGGCAGGGATGTGGAGAAATTGGAACCCTGTGCTTCACTGATGGGAATGGGAAATGGTAAAGCCTCTATGGAAAACAGTATGGAGGTTCCTCAAAAAATTAAACATAGAATTATCATATGATCCAGAAATTCCACTTCTGGGTATATACACAAAAGAATTGAAAGCAGGGACTCAGATATCTGTGCACCGATGTTCATAGCAGCATTATGCACAATAGCCAGAGTGGAAGTGACTCAAATGTCCACTGACAGGTGGATAAACAAAGGTGCTGTATACATACAATGAAATAGTATTCTATCTTAAGAAGCAATGAAATTCTCATACAAGCTACAAGATAAATAAACCTTGAAGATGTTATGCTAAGTGAAATAAGCCAGACAAAAAAAAAAGGACAAATAGGGACTTTCCTGCCGGTCCAGTGGTTAAGACTCCACACTTGCACTGCAGCAGGCGCAGGTTCGATCCCTGGTCTTGGAATTAAGATCCCACATGCCACGCGGTGCGGCCAAAAAAAAAAGGACAAATGTGATTCCATTTATAAGGGATACCTGAAATAGACAAATTCATAGAGACAGAAAGTAGAATGTGGTTACCAGGGGCTGGGGGAGAGGGGAAATGGGGAGTTATTTTTTTAATGGTATGAAGTTTCAGTTTGGGGTGATGAGAAAGCTCTGAAGATGTATAGTAGTGATAGTTGCACAACAGTGTGAATGCACTGATGTCACTGAACCGTACAATTAAAAATGGTTAAACTGGTAAGTTTTATGTTATGAATATTTTACCACAATAAGAAAAATTTAATGGAAGAACCATTAAATATCTCTGAGTGTAGAGAATAGCTCCTTCATTCTATAGAGAAATAAATTGAGGCTCAGAGAGGTGAAAAAAAGAGTCATTCCTTTAAAATCATTTTTGATACCTGAAGTATAACAGGTATTCTTGAATTTAAACAATACAGATAAAGTTGAAACCCCCTTCGGGCCACCCTCTTTACCCACATCTCCTCCCCAGGAGATAACCATTATGAAATCACTCTGTGTGGGTTCCTTTAGATCTATTTTGGTAGGTGTACAGAAATAGAACCATTCTGTACTTACTTTGCAACTGCCCTTTATATTTGGTGCTATTTCTTGGAGCTCTTTCCACACCAGTTCATAGGCGCTACCTCACTCTTCCGAACTGCTGCGCCATGGCTCGTAGTATGCACACACTACCGTTAAACATTCCCCTACTGTTGGACACTTAGGCTGTTTTCAGTATTTGGCTGTAACAGACAATTCAGCATAAATTCCTCTTTGTGCACATGCAGAAGTGTTTCTTTAGGAAAACGTCTATTTACTTTTTAAGGTTACAAGCACACATGAATGAACGTCAATAAAATGTTGCCATTTATTAGTGCTCAGGGCGTGCTAAATATTTTCCGTCATAATCTCACACGTCGTTACTCCTCTAATCAACCCCACGGGGAAGTCCAGTCACTGTCCCCACTGATGAGGTAGAAGTCCAGAAAACGTGAGTCACTTGCTCCGGGTCACAGAGCTCACAAGAGGGCCCTGGGCCAACCACAGGAGGCCTCTTAGTCTGTGTTCTCCTGGAGACCAGGACTTGGATCTCTTTCCGGCTGTGTCCCCACATCTGACGTTGGTCTGGAATGTCATGGGCACTAACAAATGCTCCTTGAGTATTGCTGAGCAAATGAAGGGATGGATGGCTGTGTGGAACTCTATTGCAGTTGTTGGCGCTCCGTGGCCAGCATTTGTCCACAACCCTGCCCTGGGCCCCATCAGGAAACGGGGGTCAGGCACCACCAGTCTCTCCAATCTCACTCTCAGCTGCGCCACAGCACATCACTCAACTCCACCCACTGGAGGATGACTTCTCGACAGGGCGCCCTGGACCCCCTGCCCTGATACAGTCCCCACCCCTGGTCACCCGACCAGACCCACTGGGCCTTCAACACTCAGCCCAGCCCAGGCTCTGCCTGGCTCTGATCCCTCAGGGAACTCCCAGAGCCCTTATCCTCCTGTCTTAGACACTTTCTTTTTTAAAGTTAGAGTGACCATTACCCACTTTGAAAAGGCTCCTCTGTGTGTTCAATACAGATGAAGAAGCTGAGGTGCCGAGACGCCACATGACCCGCCCAGGGGCCTGGGCAGCAGGCAGTGCAGATGGCAGTCACACCCCGGTCCAGCGGCCTCCAAGGTCAATGCCCTTCCTGTCACACTCCGGCAGCTTCTGAGATAAACCTGAAAGAGGCTCACTTGTTATCACATGGGAGTCGCACAGGATCTAGAGCTGGGAGAAACATTCGTTTCCTGATACCAGCTCTGCCCCCAGAACTACACGGAATCAATCCCAGTCCCTGACGTGTGGCAGGAGGCTCAAGTGCCTGAGTGGCCAAGACTGTAGTCATTCAGGTCCAGTGGACCCTCTCGTCTCCTGGTTCCCTGGGGCTCTGTCTTGACTTCTCCACTCTGTGGTCAACTCCCTGAGAGCCGTATCTTCTCTTAGACTCCTGTGCCCTCCCACTAGCCCCTGACATGAAAAGGTGCTGATTAAACATCTATTTTACTCCTGTTTCAGTTACTTGTCCTTCAGCTGTTGATCCCAAATAAAATGGAGCCAAGCAGGCAAGGAAAAGGAGTACATCAGTTCCCTGTACAATACCCAAAGCTCTAGTCATCCTAACAGCAGCATCTACCACGGCTGGGGGCCTACGCCTGTGCCGGGTACTGTCCTAATAGCCATTGCTTCATTTCCTGCTCACATCAAGTCCATGAAGAAGGGACTTGAGATGTGCCCTCAAGACCAATGTATCTTGGGATCTATGTGTCACAAACAGAGGTGGAGATTTCCTTCCTTTATTTAAAATTCGACCTGAGCTGCATTAACCCCGTCTCAAAAGCAACCATTTCTTCTCCCCATCACCTCTACCAAAGAGAGCGGGCAGAGAAGGCTAAGTGTTGGGTGGGGCCCTTCCCTATGCAGTGTTGCAGTGTATCCCAGAACTCAGACCACTGAGCTCCACCTCACTTTCCAAGAAAGGACCCCAGAGCCACCACGGGCCTCTGTCGAGAAGGGTCAGTACTTTGAGAAGGAAGAACCTTGACGGAGACCACGACAACTTCCTGAAGAGCTTGGGTCACCAGTCCTGAAGCACTTACCGAGAGCTCATCACATACGCCCTGCACTGTGCCCATGAGGAGGGGATGCATTTGAATCAGACCCAGGCCCTGCCCGCATTTGGCCACAGTCTAGTAGGGAACTCAGACATGTAAAACATAAAATTACAGAACAGCATAGTAAATGCACTGGTAGAAATGTGTACACATACAGCTCAAAAATAAAAAGACGTATAACTCAACTAAAAAATGGGCAAAGGACTTGAATAGACATTTCTCCAAAGAAGATGTGCAAATGGCCAATAAGCACAGAAAAAGATGCTCAACACCATTAGTCATTAGAGAAATGCAAATCAAAACCACAATGGGGTACTACTTCATACCCAGTAGGATGACTATAATCTAAAAGGCAGATAATAACAAGCGCTGGAAGGGTGTGGAGAAATTAGAACCCTCATACACTGCTGGTGGGAATGCAAAATGGTGCAGCCAGTTTGGAATAGTTTGGCAGTTCCTCAAAATGTTAAATATAGAATTACTATATGATCCAGCAATTCCACTCCTAGGTATATACCCAAAAGAACTGAAAACATATGTTCACACAAAAACTTGTACACAAATGTTCTTAGCAGCATTATCCAGAATAACCCCAAAGTGAAAACAACCCAAATGTTGATCAAATGATGAATGAATAAGTAATATATGGTATGTCCACACAGTGGAATATTATTTAGCCATAAAAATGAACGGAGTGCGTTCAACTGGTAATAGTGAAGCATTTCAGTGTAGTAAGTTTTCATTTTTTTCTGTGTGGGGGAATGTAAAGCAATTCATTTCTTAAAAATGAAAATTATAAAAGCATGAAGTGAACATTATGAGTAAGGGAAATTTCTGAAAAGAAACAGACCCTAAGACTTTAAATTGAAAATGTATTCTCTTTTTCTCCATAAAAATGGGGTTTAATACTTACAATATCTGTTTATCTAATTTCTTTTTTTGTTTCTTTTTGGCTGTGCCACATGGCATGCGGGATCCTAGTTCCCTGACCAGGGATCGAACTCGTGCCGCCTGTACTGGAAGCATAGAGTCCTAACCACAGAACCACCAGGGAATTCCTGTTTATCCAATTTCTATTTTTTTTTAACACATGTCATCTTTCCATTGTATTCTTTTTTATATACTTCCAGTTGATTTAAAAGAAACAATAACCCACAAAGATAAATAAGTGAGAGCGCTAGGAATATTAGAGGATTATCTAGGAAGATGACATTTTATTTTTTTAAATGAATCTTTCACATAAACCCTTCATTCTGATGATGTTAAGTGAAGTTGATAAATATGCTGAGAATTCATTATTCCTCCTATTCCTCTTATGACCAAAGAGGTACAGTGGAAGTCATCCATTTTATTAGTCCTAGGAAATGCAATCTTTTAAAAAAAGTCTTTGAAGCCTTCTTGTCCTGCCTTCCTCTATCATTTCCTGCCCTTAAGTTCCAAGAAAAGGTGGGTACAGAAACACATGGGAAAATGTGATGGTGAACTAATATTTACAAAAACAAGAGCACATATTCGAAACAGATTCTGGTCTCTTCAGATTGTAAATATTTTCTGTGAATTAAAATTGTAATGCTTATTTGTAATTCTGCCAATCTTTACATACAGTGAAAAAAACTATATGGAAACTGATTGAATCATCTCAGTGAGAATGGATTAAAAAGTGTGAGATAGATATAAAATTTATTTAAACTTGATCCTCAATTTGTTTAGTATATACCTATGACTTGCTAAATAAATCTAGAGTAATTCAGTTTGAATAAGAAGCTATTGTTTTTCTATTGTGTAATAACTATCTTATTTTGAAAAATAGCTTGGTCAAATGATAAAATATATCGTCATCTTAAAAAAAAGTACTGGATATATGCTACAACATGGATGATCCTTGAAAACATTATGCTAAGTGAAAGAGGCTAGACACAAAAGGCCACATATTGTATGATCCCACTTACGTATATGAAATGTCCAGAATAGGCAACTCCATAGGAGAGAAAGTAGATTAATGGTTGCCAGGGACTGGGGAGAGCAGAGAAAGGGAAGTGACTGCTAGTGGGTGTGGGGTTTGTCGTGGGGTAATGAAAATATTCTGGACTTAGCAGTGATGGTTGCACAGTTTTGTAAATGTGCTAAAAGCACTGAATTGTACATTTCAAAAGAGTGACCGTCATTGTGTGTGAATTATATCTCAATAAAAAGAAATAAAGAGAAATATACAACAGTATGGATGTAAGCAACACACAGAAAGGGAAGCAGGGTATGGGTAGTTAAACCTCTGTGGGGAGGTTTCCAAGAGAGAAGGCACCATCTGAGCCTGGTTTTAAAGGACCAATGGGATTCATCAAACAGACTGAGTGGGAATTAAGGACTGTTTCTAGGCAGAGGGAACAGCATGTGCAAAGGCCCAGCAAGAAGACAGTAAATAAAGTGGAATACTCTGCTAACTTCAAGTCTTCTAGTCATTATGGGTATAAACCTCGGGGCACTAACTCAGAAGTCATTTTTTTAGAAGTAGAATTAATTTCTGACTCTGAGCCCCATTCCTCCAGGCTACAGAAAATGTCATCCCCATCATTCCTGGTGTTTCTAGGTTTGTGAGAAAGTGGGTCCAGACACATGCTAGAGACAAGGTGGGGATGGAACGGAGGGTGGGAGATGAGAAGCAGGAATGTTTGGCCTCCCAAATCCAAGAGATCTAAGAGGACAGCCAGGAAGAGCGGATGGAAATGGAAGCACATGGAGCGGCAGGCTGGTCTGTGTTCCTTTGCCCCTTGTCGGGTTTGGTGACTGGAGCCATTTAAAGGGTCAGTGGTAGCAGGGACAGGCGATAGCTGCCTATAGAACTGACAGCTAGGAATTGCAGGTGGCAGGTAGGGGTGTGGTCTTGGGGAAGGCGAGCTTCCTTGGGTGGAAGAGAGGATCTAGAAGGCTGTAGCAGAAGCAGAGTGAGAGCTGGGGGCCTATTGGGAATCGATCCCCAAACCGTTCCCACACGTGAGTGATGGCGAGTTGGGGAGAGCTGAGGGAACCAGGAGGTGAAAACAGTTGCAGGGTCGGCTGGCCTGGTCACCAACTTTGCTTTGTGGGGAGGATGTTTATTTAAGGAAAATCACTATGTTTACTCAAAGCTTTGAGCTGCAGCTCTCAGGGGTGGAATTATCAGTGAAAGCTGGGCTATTAATCAACTGTGGGACCTGGTGACAGGCCTTCTCCTCCCTTCCAGAGAGTGGGAGGGACAGAGGAGAGAGGGAGGAAGGGACAGAAGGGGGCTGGAAGGGAGCAGAGGGTAGCGTTTCCATGGCTCAGCAGTCATGGGACAAAGCTGGACGGAAATCACACTCCGGGATGCTCCCTGGCCAAGGCCAGGTTGCCTGGAAAGGAAGGACAAACTTCCTGGATGGACACTGGATGCTGAGCCCTGGGGAGGAGGGCAGGGGTGGGGGTCATGGTGTTGCTGGAGCCGTAGGTCTCTCCAGTCCATCGGCCAAGACCTTGAACGAAGCCTGAACAGAGCCTGCCCCCCAGGGACACGTGCTAGACGCAAGGCTGAGCAGCAACTCGGTAACTAACTTCCCGCTCGCTCTCAAGTCTGTGCGGCCAGTCTGATGAAGAGAGGGGTGTGTGCCTTCCCCTGACTGGTGGGCAGGCCGGGCAGGTGGGGTAGGAGCTTATGGGGGTGCTGGGTGAGCAGTGCACGGGCTTGAGAGCTTGCCTGGGAGGAACTGGGGAAGTCACCAGCAGCTGTGGGGCTGGGAGGGCAGCTGGTCCAGAGAAAGGAGAGAGTACAGATGGATGAGGGAGGTGCTTGGCACGTGTGCCTGGGCCTCGGGCACCTGAGGCCTCCCAGGAGCACAGCCAGCGGGAAGTCTCTTTATAGTGGACTCAGGCCAGAGCAGGGCCCCTCTTGTTGGGCATCTGGACCACAGTTTGGGGGCAACTGCCCTGTGAGAACTGAGGGAAGAAAAGAAGGGAGGGGGGGAGGGAGGATCTTTCCTAATGATGGCATCAGTGGTACCTACCTCATCAAGGTGTTGGTGAGAAAGTACAGGTAAAGCACCTGGCCCAGGACCCAC